CTCTAACCTTAACCTTCCGAAACTTGGCCCAAGGTCAGCTGAAATACGGAGGGAGACTGCATATAACCGTGCCCTGCCTTTTTTCTTTTTGTGTTTCGTTCTGATCCGGGCATCACATTATCTCGACCGCAGTGGAGAGCATGTAGGCGTGTTAAACTTGGTAATAAGAGTATTCGACGTTAATGCCCGGTGAGCCAGTTGGTCCTGCTTCAGTGCTTAAGCTCATCGCCAGCTTTGGTGGGTGACTGGTGAGCATAAGTCAACCAGAAACAACCATTCCAATACCATTTGGCGTCAACCTTCCTCGTATTCAAACTCCGTCGGAAACACTGATATGTAGTCCTAAGGCGACGGGCAATCAATGATCGAACGTTTATTTGTCGCAGAGAGAAGTGAGGTTGAAATAACCATTTCCGGCTTGCTAGTCCTCATCGGACAACCATGATCTCAGTCACGGTGGGAGTGCTGACGACTTTAAACCACCCAACGTTCACATTTTCTGTCAAATAATGCTGCTTTTGCCGTCGCACGTTTTTTTTTCTCGGATACACATCAAATACGCCCTTGTTCGCCACTACATATACACGGGAAACGGGGCTTGCAGCTTGCACGTGTTCACACGTTATCCAATTTAAAATAGTCGGCAGTGAGCTAATTGGTTAAGAAAGGCAGGTACCACATCTGAAGACCGGCAGGAGCGAAGATCACATTAATCTGATGATGTAAATGAGGAAGATTCCGAAACGTCCGTTCAGATATAATATGGTCCATATATTCGCCCTCTCTTCTTCTCCGACTTCCTCGGGAGATGATGAACGCGAAATATATATATATATATATATATATATATATATATAAATATATAATGGTAGGGGGCGCTCACCGATCGTTCATACGGAACTCACTCGTTCCTTTGTGCCTTAAGGGCTCTCTCTGGAGCCCAACCAGCAGCGGCACAGCGGCACATGATATAGGCAGAATGGCATAACCGACAAAGACAAGAGAGACTGGAATGGCCATTTCTGGCTTATTAGCCGTGGTCAGTTCCGTATGAACAATCGGTGAGCGCCCCCTACCATTGTATATTCCCGATCGAAAACCGACAGGGCAACGGGCTCTTGGCCCGATGTGTAGAGGCGTGGACTTCTAAACCAACAGGTCGCGAGTTCGAGGCTCTGGTGTTCCACACTTCGGGCTTGGGTATGGCTGGCTGACGACGGCGAATAAGCCAGAAATGGCTATACCAGTCTCCCTTGTCTTTGTTGGTAATACCATTCTGCATATATATCATGCCCCTAAAAAGTCATGTCCCGGAGATTTAACTCCAAGTCCTGCACAAAGTAATTTCTGAAATTATTCACTTGATATATATATATATATATATATATATATATTATGGCAGTGGGCGCTCGCCGATCAGGTTACGGAGCATGCTCGTCCCTTGTCTTTTTCGGTACCATCTCATCTATATATATATGTATATATACATATATATATATATATATATATATATATATATATCAAGAATGGGCGCACACCGATCTATTGGCTTCACAAAGCAAACAAGCTCCGTATGTGTGGCAAAGGTCACGAACAAGCAACCAATTACCAGGCCGAAGTCGGCCAAGTCATAATAGCAGCGAGGAGGGACGACAGAGAATGCGGGTAGATTGATACAGCACTGTTTCGGGCTTATTTTGCCTTCATTCAGCCAATCATAACCCTGACCACCAGCAGCTGAGATCAGAAACACAAACATGCGCACAGACGCACATGGCGCAGTTGGTCCACCACTGAGGCCTACCAGATGGGTCATAAGCACTTCATCGAACCGAAGTTCATCAGTGCCTCGCCACCTGTCATTCTCTGTCGCTGCAGATCGGGTATTTATCAATCAGGAATGGGCGCACACCGATCTATTGGCTTCACAATATATATATATATATATATATATATATCCCGTTCATAATCCCCAAAAGAAGACGAAGAAGAAAAAGGAGCGATTGCATGGACCACAGTGTATTGGTGCTGACGTTTCGGAAACTTCCTCCTTTCCATTATCAGAGATCTGCAAAACTGTCAGCGGAGGTTGGAGAGTGTGTAGTTATAAGGTAGTCCATACGCTAGTCATGCCAGACCCCGATTTACAATAGATCAGACTGCCAGCTATGATTAGGCCAGATGGAATCGCTCCATCCGCCATCTGCACCTCTTATGAGTCTTCTATGAAATTATGAGTAAGTACATTCCCCGGTGTGTTCGTTTATATTTGCGTCGTAATCATTCTGTGGTTCAGAAATCTCTGATGTTCCCTTCTCTGTCGCCAGTCTATAAGCATGCGCGGAGTACAGATGACAGGCAGTTTTAGATGTGACCTTCTCATGAAATTTTAACTAAAATTCTGAGCTGCGTTTTGGATTGGGAAGAATTACTTAGAAGGGATTGCAAGACTGGGTATCTGGCGGCAAAATCCAGCGACGTTTCAGACGCGTCAGAATGATGTCTTTCAAATGCACTTCTCCTCGATTGTCTAAGATATTGTATTCGGTAAAAAAGCGACTAACACAGTAGTATCTACTTTTGAAATTGATTTTTGATGTTGTTATAAACTCAACCATATTGTGCAGAAAAAATATCATTTTTTTGCGTTTATTTGGTAAAATATCACGTCTTCATTAAATATTTTGCTGGAGAGAAAGGACATATTTAGTTCTAGAAAAATTCCTAATTATGAACTCTCTTAACAATGCTCCTCACATTCTCACAACTGGGCCCATATGGTGTCTTCTTAATGAATAAAAGGAATGTATGTTTCTCTTATATGGAATGTTCACAGCTTGTAGACTGAAAATTCCGAACTTAAATGCAACGTAGGATCAAGCTTTAAACTATTCTGAAGTTGAAATAAAACCAGCAGATACCCATTCTTCTAGTATGAAATTTGAAGAGGACTTTATTTACTACTAGATGAATATAAGGAAAGATATTTTTGTGCATTTTGTGTGCAAACCGCATCCACGTTTACAAGGGCATTGAAAATCAATGGAAAAAGTGCACACAATTCAAGTTCTATTTTTGTACAAGCGAAAAGAAATGCATCCGGAAACTAACATCCTGGTGCGTCCGAAATATACCAGGATTATGTCGCGGGATAGTCAATGTTACGACCCAACGTAAGTAGTCCTCTCTAACCGGAAATACATTACAGAATTTCTGTTGACATTTTATGAAATCGGTAAGCCGCGTCAACTCCTACCGATCCTTCTTCACACAGAAGCCAAAAACTGCGGACCAACTAGGGACATTTTCATAGCCATCTTGCGGTTTGAGTACCTTGTTTTCACCGTACCATCTACCGCAAATAATTCCCTACTATAGAAACCCTCTGAAGCATCTCTGGGATACTTTTAAGAGGCCGCTGGCATGGTTAAATCAGCTAGCAAGAAAATTTCGACATTAAAAAGTATTTGGCTGTAAGATTTCACGCGGCATGCAGAAACCGTCCGGACATGAATGCTCCTGCTTTAGAAACCAGGATGCCACAGCGTCCCCAGCAGAGTAGATGAATGGGTAGTAATTGTCATGTTCAGAGTTTTTTTATGGTTCGACCGTCGATTCCGCGTGCTACACAGCAAGGTGCAGCAGGCACGGTGGCTTGCGCGAGAATTAGGTTATGGTGATAGCAGACATGCACAGCATCTATCGCACTCTCTTCTCCACTCCCCACCTGGACCCGATATCAAGATAGAGTCAAGAGGACCGGAGGCGGAGGAGGGCGCAGGTGGTTAGCACGGCCGGACCCGCACCCAGACGTACCATCACACCATACACATGAGCAGGATTTTTCACCGACAACAACAGCAACACCCGAACAGGGGTCAGAAGGACGAGGATGCCTGGGTAGCTATGCCCACCACCTGTATAACCAGCGGGAGCGCAAGCACATCTACCGGCAGAGAATCAGGTGTCAGGGTACAGCCAGCGCATACCAGGCTGCGAGGGCCATAGTTTGCTGATTCTGGCATAACACACGAATTCAGACGTTTTGACTTTGTCGTGAGTCGTCAACACATCAACTCGCCAACATGATATTCCTGACCTACTAAACGGCCTCAGTCAGTCATGGAGGAGCAGCGGCTACAGGACCGGTTAAAAGTGTGTCATTAACTTTGGTCAAGTATTCATAAGCCAACTACACATCGGTAAGACGCGAGGTCCCTTTGTCATTGACCATGATTTGGATCTCGAGCTCACACTGTGCTTGGCCGTGATTAGGATAACGTAAAGTCGCGCCCACTGATCTGATCTGATTGCTGGAAGGAAAAGGAGTTTTAATTTTTGCGGCGGAGCAGTGATCTGGAATCGCTGATGGCCATCACGTCGATCGTGGATCACCGGTGGGAAGAGGTCTGGCTAGCGTCGGGCAGCCGACAACTCTTCAAAAGTAGGAAGCACCGACAACCTCAGAGGACGAGGCAAGGCCGAAACCGATGCGATTTTTACTTCTCTTTTAATGTCCTTTATTCTATTACTTTCTGCAGCTCTCACGCAGTAGTCCATATGTCTTAATTCCGTAGAATTCTACGATGGAGACGCCACTATACACTCTGACTCACCCCAATGTCGAGTGCATCGCTGTCACGTTGACTCCCAGACCCTGTCTATCCTCAGATGTCTGAGGGGGAGGAACACCATAAAGGACACGAGCACTGAAGTATCAGAGCTGCCCTTCCCCTCCTCCGCCGGTCGGAGTCACATGTTTTGCGCGAATGGAACCCTTCGCCAGAAATTTTTTCTCGTCAGGACGCATGTACTTGCGAACAATAGCCAACTTACAAGGCGGATTGTACGCGGAATGAACATTCTGCGGACTAATATTATCGTAAACTTCTTGTGAAATCAAAAAGGGGGGGCGATTTTCACACAAGCAGACTTGGGTTGGCAAGGCAAATGTGGGTAGGTGAGAGGGGGGGAGGCGGAGCTCTTTTGAAGGCAGAAATTTACTTCTTTTTACAGAAGGGCATGACATGCAGGCGTTTCTTGCGCGTCTTGGCGTTGATTGCAAGGTCAATATTGCGGTTGACTACCGACGGTGTCGGGATTTCAACCGCCGTGGGTGGTTGTGGGACCCACGGCCGTAACTGCGCGTCCTCCGGCGACTTCTTAATCTTCTGGATCATGAGCCTATACTGATCAATGTAGGGGTCCCCGATGTATGCAGGGAACTTGGAGAGACAGCCATCCTTGCAACCGCCGTCCCACTTGGCCGGACTTGAGGGCAGAAAGGTGGGCCCGATATTGCGCGACTTGTCCGAAGCAGAGTTCCCGAACTTATGCACCACTGGTCCACCGGGAGCCAGTGGGTTAACACCGTTGATTATTTCCGGATCAAAGGCCTCCCCTGAGTGCTGCTGGCTGACAAACACGGGTCTGCCAAGACAGAGCTGCTTGTGCTCCTCATTGGCTTTCATAATGACCTCGTGCTGAGAGCCCAGTGTGGTCGCACCAGCCATCCACTCAGGATAGGGGTTGATGGTCACATCTAGGTAGCCGTAACCGGTACCCTTCTTGCCAGGATTGGTGTAAAAGTTATGCAATTCGGGCTGCTTTTCAACCCTCTTCGCTTCTCGACTCATGGCCGGGTACTGCTCTTGGAAGCAGCCATAGGGACTGCCAATACCCTGACGCTTCTTTGCTGGACTGGAGTACACCCAGTCGCCGGCCAATTTCTTCGCATTATTCTCCTTTCTCCAGGCCCGTCGTAGTTGAATTATGTTACTGCCTGCCTCGCCCTCAAAAACGCGTGCGAAAGGCGCAAAGTAGCCATCGTCGGTGGAGGCTTTGGTCTTGGAGAAGCCACCAGCCAGAATCATGGGTCTCATTCCGGGCTCATTCTGGAGGTTGCGGAACAGTTTGTCGGGCCGAACCACCGTATAGGGGTCGTTGATGGTTGTGTAGCCGAGCTCTTTGAAAATACCGAGGCGCTTAAAATCCGGTCCACTGTCCGCATCGCCCGGCATGGTTGAAGAAGCAGTTATCTGTCAAACAGATCTTGCCGCAAAGGGCCTAACTTCAAAGCACGCTGGAATGGAGTTTTAAGAAAAAAAATCGATCGAAACAGTCCACGTCCTCGGCACGCCGAGTGGCCGGAATCTTTTATTGGGTAGTGTCAGCCGACGCCCGTGTATAAAAGAAACAACTTCACAACTGTTTTAATTTCCTCAAAAATCTACACGCTAGCTTCGAAATAGTCTTTCGTCTGCTAACCGTCCCGTGCTCGGTTTTAAAGTTGGTATGAAAATTCGAGTTGAATATTACGCAGCTAGCCCGCAGAAGCTCAAAGACTTTAGTTTGAATATTCATATCAACCTCCGGACTAGCCCTGGAAAGTTCTGTCTTGAAGGATTCGCTCCAAGTTACCGCAGTAATTTCTAAGAGCCCGCTTAACTGTTGCTGGCTGACAAACACAGGTCTCATCTATGTTTTGGTAGATTTTGAATGATTCATATTGACCCAACTGTGAAAAACTCGGCGCCTCGGTGGATTCGAACCCACGCAGTAAGGGGAAGGCTTTAGTACAGCCAACGCTCAAACCACTTGAGCTACGAGGCCCCGCCGGACGACGCAAGTTTAATCACACTTGGATCAAGTTACCCGCCCAACCTACTGCAACGTCTGGAATCCACCAAATCTGATACAGTAAGTTGACTGCCCAAGCAGGATTTCCTAAGTAATTCACCTAGAATCCATCAGATGACTACCATGCTCGCGTAATTCATAGGTATTTTGGCAGATTAAGCTCGAGTCGTCCGGCGGGGCCTCGTAGCTCAAGTGGTTAGAGTGTTGGCTGTACTAAAGCCTTCCCCTTACTGCGTGGGTTCGAATCCACCGAGGAGCCGAGTTTTTCACAGTTGGGTCAATATGAAACATAGGTCTGTCATGGCAGAGCTGCTTTCGTTTTGATAGGTTCCATGGGCGCGAGGCGAGGAAAAACTAGGGAGAACTGCCTACTATGCTTTTAAAAGTAGCTGTTTCTCAGTTGGGTTTTTGGGTCGCCCTTCGTCGGCAGGATGACACTCGCTGACCTGTATCGCTCAGAGGAGTGGGTGCTGCTGAAATGTCTACATCTGTTCACTGTTCTGCACCCCACCACACGAAATTCTCTAGTAGGAGAAAAGCTCAATTTAAAAAAGTTCTTCACGAAGAGCAGTAAGGTAGTAAAAATGCTCGAAATGCTGTTAGATGGAATGCATACGTCTGCCAGTAAAGCAGGAGTTTTAAAACGCTGGTGAGTTTGTTAAAAAACAGCTGGCTTTTTCTTACCCCGCGCATATTCTTAATCCTTGCAGTGTTTTCCACTGGTTTTCAATATAATTTCGTGCTGAGAGGCCGGCGCTGTTGCTCCAGCCATCCTCTCAGAATAGGGGTTAATGGTCGCATACAGGCATCCATAGCCGGTACTAATCTTCCCAGGATTGGTGCAAAAGTTGTGTAACTCAGGCGGCTTTCCTACCCTTTTCTTCATTGGTCCACTTCATCCAGCCAATTATGCACTAGCGTTTGGGCAAGACAACCAGGTTTTGTGTCGTATCCGTGGGTTTTTTGATCCAACCAGTTTTAAAGGCATTTACACCAGCGCTACAAGAGCACACTTCTTCGGAGACGATGGGGACATTCTGGAGAACCACGTGCGGAGAGCTGGAAAACCCATGAATGAACCGAAATCTTCGCAAGTGTGCCATGCAGCGACAAGACATAAATCGGTGAGACAATTGTCTGGACTTTTGGGCAGTATCTGCTTTGGAATAAGAAGAAGATGCAATCACTGGAACAAGGAGTTTATTGGCCTGACGTCTCGGATTTTCACTCGAACCCATCATCAGAGATGGTTGCAGACAAAAGTGGTGGAGGCACAAAGACGGCAGTTTCCGAGTACGTAGCTGCAGTGGGGCCACATTCGTACTATAATTAACAGCTCTTTTGATCACCGCTGGAGGTCGTAATTGAGGCGATGATGGCTCGTCAGTCCGCGTGTGAGTCGTTAATCGCAGCATTTTCATCATCCGTGTTGGATGTTAACGTGATTATTACTCGGAAATTTCAGGGTTATGCATGCGAGTCAGGGATGGGGGGTAGTGGGACAAACGGTTGAGCAATCATCACGCTAACATCCAACACCAATGATTAAATTGCAGCAAGTAACGACTGGTAGGCGGACTGACGAGCCAGCATCGCCTCAGTTACGACACCCAGCGATGATCGTGAGAGTTGTTGCTTATAGTACGAATGTGGCCCCACGGCAGCTACATGCTATAAATACTGCCGTCTTGTTCCTCAACCACTTTTGTCTGTAACCGTATCTGATGATGGGTTCGAATGAGAATCCGAAACGCCAGGCCAGTATAATTCTTGTCCTAGTGATCGCATCTTCTTCTACTGAACTGCCTCCTGGAGCTCGCTTCTTCGCTTCTATCAGTATCTGTTTTGTCAGTATCCTGAATCATGCAACATAAACAAAAACTTAATAAACAATAAGTATGGACTAACTGCGAAGTCCGCAGATTCGACAGTCGTTGGCTGTGAGGTCCACCGAGTGCCCCACAGCAAGACGGCGCGAGAACTGTGACTTGCACGTGATTCATTTTATAATAGTAATAGACTTTTGCTGCATCTACCTCACTTCCTCTTCCTCCGCCGCCTGCGCCCGGTGTCATGACCAAGTCAAGAAGACCGGATGTTGGAGAGGGCGCAGGTGGTTGGCACGTTTGGAGTCGCCCCTACGCAGGCCGTCAACCTAAAGTTATGAAGATTACGCAAAAGGAATCTGTCGGTAAAGACAAGTAGTAATCACAACATTAAGAAGCTTGGTAGAAGAGGTGTTAATCGCCTTCTGCATTCAACCTGTCATGTGCTAGCCTCTGGACAGGATTGACAGTCCTTTGTTTCATATCCGGGGATTTGGAGCAAAACAGCTTTAACGATATCCGCATCCACATTACGGGCAAACACGCCTTTGGGGGCGGTGGAGGACATTCGTACGGAGGACGCTCGTACGACCAATCCGATTTTTCAACATAAAATGGTCTTAGGTGTTGCAATGATTTTTTATCTGACTGTGAATCAACATGTTTTGCCCGGTAAACAAAGAGCTGCAGTGATATTACAGTCTGGCGGAAAGAGATTTAGACGGGATGACTAATGATCAGAAAACTTGCGCGCAGCGGAAGAGAACTATAAAAAACAGAAGAGATCCGGTCGGAAAGGCAAGTAAAGTTTCCAGCGGTCTCTGTCACGAATCCTGCAGTTTCAAAATTGTTTTCGATAAAAACGAGGAGACCGGGGTGAAAGCGTACTCGTCAGAATCATAGTTGGGGACCAGGGGCCAATTTGGGTCGTAAATGTCTTCATTAGAGGGAAACATAATGTCAAATTGGTTTACTCTCCTAACAGAACGGCGTTTTTTTGTTTTGGTTTCACTTAGCTGAGTGACTTTGGCTTTCATGAAATTGAGGATATTCTCACGCACACCAGGAGAAAATGACCTACTTGTGTTGAAACCCTATTGGCAGAAATAAATGAAGCATATATAAGAAAAAATTGAACCAGTTAAATATTTAGGATATCTGAGTTCTCAATGTCGATAAATTCGGTGACTTCCACGAGATTTGAGCAAACTAAAGAAGCATCAATGTTTTGGTGTGACCAACGATCTACCAAATGAGCTATACAGACCTAATTGAAGGCTTCGATTTTAGGTATATGACATAAATAGACCGCCTGGGTCAGTCACACAACCTACTGTAACCTGTCATATCTATTCATTCAGGCAATTATCTGATTTCCCAAGCAGATTTCTCAAAACACTTAATTCACAATCCATCGAATGACTGCTTCCAGACGCTCTTTTTAAAAGATATTTTTGGCAGATTTGAATTATTCAGCTGAGGGGTTTGTAAAGAGCACGGTGGTGTCAGTCCTCTTTTTATAGTTTCACGACATTGATGTTCAACGACCTGCCCAACTTGCAGAACGGGATACAGCTGGTACCGTGTCAAGTCGCTTTATTTAGGGAGTACGTCTTTCGCCCTTGAGTTCTCTGTTCATACCCGAAGAAGCAATGACATTAGTTTTTACAGAAGTAGTTTTGGAAAACGTACAGTCATCCGTATATGTGAGCCGAACGCAAACTGCGGCCACGGACATAATTTTGATCACGTGTACAGTAGTTTCTTAGCAAATGGGAATCTACCCTGCACGTAAATGTCCAAACACTATTTAAAAGCATCTCCGCAGTAGTAATGTTGTTCCAGGCTCCAAGAACCCGTTTCGAAAAAGTGTTCTGTCGGAAGTCGTAGGCGTAAACTCGTCTGCAGATTTTGGGGAAGGCCACCTAGGCGGTCCGTCGCAGTCATTTCAATGAAGTCATCGTAATCTAGGGCATACTTACGTACTCTAACATTTTGATAGGCTTGAATGAGGTCTGCGTTGTCTGTACATTTAAAAAAAACAAACCAAGATCAGCCAGTCTCCCGTCTTCGTAAGCAAGCCTGCACTCGATCCAAAAGTCAGCAATTCTTCTAAAGTCAAGAAAACGAGGCCTGCTAGGCATACACCAGGTAAGAACAAGCAGTATATGTGCACGTGTTTGTCTCAGAGCGAAAGACACCCGTGTCGCGCATTTAGCTTCCTTTAAACACTGTGAAGATTGTTAAAACGAGGAAGTCTGTAGAATACAGAGATCCTTCTGTTGATCGACATGCGAAATTTGCTGCTCGCTTGCGAAATATCGGAACGACTCATATTCCCCACTGGTCCTTCCGGTAGGGAGTCCTAGGAACACACATTCGTTAACGTTGAAAATTCTGCAGACCAGCTGCTGACTCGGTTAACATTCTCATGAAATCTGTGCCTATCTGAGTCGGAGACGATGGCTTCCGAAAATTTTACATCGCCAGCAGACATAAGGACGCGGCAACTCAGGACTGAGTCCTGTTGAACGCCATTTATGACAGGGGCGGGA